TAATTGCTCAAAGAACTTCAAAAGAAATTCTGAGGCGTCTATGATTTAACTGATTTATCCACAGCTTAAAAATAAATTAAGGAAACACATTTGCCTTCCGCTGGGCTCCACGAACATATCAATTTTATAGGAGATTTTAAATCTGTATCCTTCTGGCAACAAGATATCATTTGAGATTCAAATGAACAACAATTGAGCAGAAATCACATTTTTGAGAGTGCAGTCTGCTCCACACTAGCAGACTGCCTGAACGTGTTTAATTTTAAACATTTGCGAGGGACTCCATTTAAGACTTGGATATGTATTAAATGTTTCCTAACTGTCACAACTGCTAGTGTTGTCCAGCACGCAGAACTATGTAACATTTACATAGACAAATAGAAAGAGGACAGAATGTAAACCAGTCCTTAGAATGGCCAGATTAATACATTGAAAGACAGAGAATGGTCAAGGGAAAGCTGAGGTCAGGAAGCCAGAAATTCACAGGATCGATAAGGAAAGCCAAGTCAGGGAATCCAGAAATCAGAGTAGTCAGGGAAAGCCAAGGTCAAAATACTGGGAAGATCAAATACAAGAACAGGGAACCAGGAACTGAAACCACGACAGGGCAATGAGCTAGGGAACTTCAGGGGTTTAAATATCCCTACTGGTGCTCTGATTGATCAGAGCTCAACCTATGACCCCAGAACGTGTGTGTGCATCGACGTTGAGGGGCTATAAATGGCCGCGACCGCGTTGTCAGCACCATTTTTACAAACAGAGGGAACGGATGCCCCAGCGGGACGGCTCCCGGCTTGCCACGAGCAGGTAAACTCAGCCTGTCAGCGTGGTCGCACCAATCGAGTGCAACCATTTACAGCCGTGAACCGGGGGCCGTGACACTACCTGATCAAGATACAGAGAGCCATGTTAAGTTTTGAAGATTGTGAAGGGGGTCTCAAAGTCATTATTTCTATAATTAAGCCACAAGGATTACTTTTGTCAGGATCACAATGCTATACTAAAAATTACTAGTGAAATACATTTTAATATAAACTCACGGACACTTGGTTTTTACAATGCTTCCACTTTATTCTTTTAATTTAATAATTCCACGCACCACAATCATCTAATATCTTGTTTACCAGGAAAAACCTTTTCTGTCTCCTCTCCTCATAGAAAATTTTATGGGATTTAATTTCAGCTCCTTTAAGGCAATCAAGATTCTGGATACAGTTGTATCAAGCTCTGCATTGATCAAGGCTTTATAATCTACACTTAATCCTGATTAAAGCTATTTAGTCTGTTAATACAGATTCCAGTATTTTTCTACTGACCTTTGATTTACACATATTTATTACAGCCGTTTCCTGTTTGTGTGTTCCATATCTAGGCAAGCCTTAAACCATAAGCAATATTAATAACAAAAAAAAAATAAAGAGTGACAAAATACATTATCTATTTTTGAAAAGATATGGACGCCCTGGACGGACTTTAACTCCACAGTCTACTATGACAATGACATCACCGGAGCGGACTTCACCCCCACCTCCTCACTTTTTCTTCTCTCTTTTCCCCCACCTTTCTTACTCTTCCTTATTTTTACACAATTTAAACTTTACACTTTAAACACAAACTTAAAACACGATGAAACTTTAAGCATATAATGCACAATGTTATGTACTGATCAGTATTCGGCATTTTCATATTGCTCATTCTCAAAGTAAAGAATTTAAACAAAAAAAATTAAATAAAATAGGTTAATAAAATAATTATAGGAAAATATTTTTTTTAGGGGTTCAACTTGAAACATAGATATTTGTCTCTGCTTTATGAATGCACACCCAAACACATTATTTATTATATATGTATTTCTGCATATGCCGGTTAATCAAGCCTTTTCTAGGAGGAATTCACATTCATTTCAGCCATCGTTAAGGACCAACAACCTACTTTTGTATCCCTGTTCCTTCCTTACTGTGTGTTTACAATACCAATGATCTTTAGCAATATTCATATTAGTGAGTTCCAATATGAATCTGATCAATTTGTTTCACCTTCCTGATACTTAAAGAACCAGTAAAGGCACCAACACAACTTTATCTCAATTAGGTGGTTCGGGGGGCAGTGGTCATTTAGATGTTGATAAAGCATCAGGATAAGTGCGAAACGCGTCCGGAGTTACTGTAATTTTTTTTTCATATTTTTCTTTTACCCCCTTTTGACTGGTCTAGGTTTTCCTGTATTTTTGTATTATTGGATTTTTTATTTTATTAACTTTTTTTACTTTGGGCTCCTCTGAGGGAGATCAAAATTGCATTTATTGACGTATGTCTTTAGAGTTTAGGTTGCCTGTCACTTATGAGGTCTGCACATCTTTCTATAACATATTGTTAACCATTTTCTACAATAAAGTATGCACTTTCCATGATCTACCTGGCGGATTGGATCATTCTAAGATTCTCATTACTGCGGACGGTTTGGCTGATTTGGGGAATTTGTACATTTGGGTGAATCGAGCACCAATATTAGTATCTGAGATACATTTAATCATGTAAATGTCCACATTGTCTCCCCTGTGGAACCAGAGTTGCAGCAACAAGTAACTATAGAAAGCTTTTTCTTGTAATATAGTTGGTTTTACTACTTAAATGCAATGTAAAACATGCAGCTTATCTGATACGGCAAAGCTTACATTGCATGGTTAAATATGCATCTAGTGGCTGTGTACCTGAGAACCACTAGAGGTGCTTTCACTGTGAGAACCGAGGCTGATTTGGGGGCAGACCTGAATCTAAATAAAGAGGTGAACATAATAACATTAGGAATACAGGTATAGTGTTCCTTTAAGAAAGACTTTTGCTTGGACTCCTGCCACAAGGAGTGGGAGGCCTTACTTTTGCAGTGGGGTTTTGCCTGTTAGCAAGCTCTAGCTCTGTTATAGGTAAGATTTGTATGTGGTCAATGGACTTAGATGGTCTGCTAACGTCAGAGTACGCCAAGTGTACAGGCAAGAATGAGGAAGTATACAAGATGTATAAAGTATGCATAAGTCATTATAGATTGATATGGGCTAGGCAGTGGAGAGAACGATAGACCTTATAAAGAAACAAATATTGGTGCAGGAGACAGAAAACAGAAACCCCCAATATAAATTAGGTTAAAGGGATACTGAAAGCACCAAAACCACTTTATCGTAAGGAAGTGGCTTTGGTGCACAGACCTTGTTCCTTCTTTGTGACAATGTAGTTACATAGTGACACAGGCTGAAAAGAGACATGTGTCCATCAAGTTCAGCCTTCCTCACATCTGTTTTTTGCTGCTGATCCAAAAGAAGGCAAAAAAAAAAAAGGTTAAAGCGATTCCAATTTTGCAACAAACTAGTAAAAAAAATACTTTCTTGACCCCAGAATGGCAGTCAGATTTAGCCTTGGATCAAGAAGCTATTACCCTCCAGTTGAAAAATTATATCCTTGTATATTCTATTTTTGCAAGTTTGCATCTAGTAGCTGTTTAAACATCTGTACGGACACTGATAAAAACCACTTCTACAGGTGGAGAATTCCACATTCTTAGTGTTCATACCACGTAAACGGTGGCTGTTTCAGAGAAACTGCAATGTTCACATTTGACTGTCAACGTGCCTCTTGTGACTGTCAGGCTTCCTCACTGAACATTTGACATTTCTGAAAGTCTTTACGTTTGGCATCACCAAAGCCTGTGAATGCATTCAGAATTTTTTTCAGGCAAAAAAAAAGTTGTGACATTATCTTGCTTAAATAGTGTTAAACAAATATAAATTTAATAAACAAGTCATAATATACAAATAAACTATGCTGTATACCTACTTTTGGGCCAGTTGGTATATTTACATTTAGTATTAGAATGTTCTGTTATAAAACAAAAATGCTCTAATAAAAGACTGGGTTCCAACAGCAATCACAAAAGGAACACTTAGAAGCGGAAGACTTTAAAATGTTGATCTAAACAAAGGCATTACCTTAAGGAAGCAGTGGTTGCAACAGAGAGGGTTGACGAAGCTATTGAAAGACTCTGGTTAAATGATGGGTTTTTCTTTATTCACAATCAACCAAATTGAAATCATGTAGTTTTGTGCTATTTTCAAATGGATCTCACAGCTAACATGAGAATCATTTGGAAATAGCTCAGCTGAATTAAAGCCGAATGTCCCTTTTCTAAGAAAATAAAAATATGCCACTACAAGAGAAGAATGGTTTTGGGAATTCTTGTTGGATTGTCATTACTGGGCTAAGTAGGGTTGGGATCAGGCCCCTACTGGTCATTGAGCAAACTGAGCAAATGTCCAATGGGCCGCGATGGCCCTAAACAGAGGCTCTGATCTCCTCCTGCAGGGTCAGCACCACCCAAGTGCCGGCCCTGCTGAGTGCCATCAAGTGGCCTCACTGGCCCACTGGCACTTAAAAATCTGGCACAGGAAGAGGGAGAGGAGGAGTTTTAGCTTCCTCTCGCAAGTTCTGAGCATTGTCATGGTTACCGTGGCAACGCTCCAATCTCGCAAGACTGAACTCTAGCCCAATGAACTACATGCTAAAGTTCACTCACCACTGGACCACCATGGCCTCACCACGGGACCACCAGGGCTTTCAAACAATATCCATCCTGCCTGAGCAAAAGTAAGAAGGAAGGGGGGATATCAAGTATATTAAAAAATAAAATACACACTCTGCAACACTGCACCGCTGGCACACACTGCACCCCTCACACACAATACAGGCCTGTAACAGTCCCAAAGCAGTCACACACTGCAATCGTCACACACAATGTTTTGGATGTGTTCACTGTACACAATTTAACAAATGTTACATACACACTGTTTATATGTCTGTTCTGTCTCTTTATACAGTTATGGTTGTTTAACATTTGTAAAGGAAAAATTACATTTTTTAAAATGTACTTTTTTTTCAATATAACTTTATTTATTAAATATTATAGAGATTAAATTTTACAATAGGATAAAATAAATAAATAAAAGGTTCAGTGGAAGGTGCTACAAAGAATGCAACAATAATATGTTCCATTGAATTACATAGTCACTTGAAATTCACCAGATCGAATGCGTCCGTGGCATACTAAAAACAGGAGTGTCCAATCGAGGTATTAAGAAAAATATGCAATTCTTAGATCAAGTCAGAGTTCATACACAAGTAATCATTATCACAGTACAGAATTGGTGGTACAAGAATAGAGAGGCTGATGGGAAGCCAACGGTCGAAAACCAGCAGGTGAGACAAAAGGCAAATTAGTTGAATATTAGTTGAACAATTCCAGCTGAGACTAATATCGATGATTGGCGCTGGGGTTCATACTTAAACTGACTGCAAAGAGAGAAATAAAGAATAAATTAACCCTTGCATATAATGTTAAAATTAACACATTGAAAGAGAAATGTAATTATAATGTCGTGCATTTAAAAAGTCAGACAGAACATGAAGACTTCAAGGTTTTTTTAAAGGTCAACACATATAAGTAAAATAAAGAGAACAGAAATTAAAGTCAAAGAGCCATATATTTAAGAATAGTAAACTCATAATGTGTGACTACCTACCTTCCTGACTTACAATAGAGAGCTGGATGGGTGTCAGACAGGCTCTGTATTACCCAAGCAAGACAAACATAACGCTTTAGTAATTGCATAATATGACACTACGCAGGGAGTCAGGGACCATTGTTCTTATGGGTTACTCCAACTTCCATGACCACTTCAGTGATTTGAAGTTGCCGTGATGCTTGAAGACTGTACGTGCAGTGTTTCGCTATGAGACTCAGCACATACAGAGTTTGACATCTCATCAGACAGATGGCCCCTCTGCAGTCAGATGACCCCTCTAAAGTCAGAAGTCATTAGCAAGCTGGGAATAGGCGTTAACTATTATAAATTCTGTGCAAAATTGACGTCTGATGCCAGTACACACAGCATGCTGACACCAGACAGCCAATGGCACCATGGTCCCCTTTTATGCCGCCCCTGTCCTCCCCTCAGTTTGTTCTCCATGCTCTTCCTCCCCCCTCCAGCGAGGTGACAGTGATGACAGCAGACGAAGATTGGATTGAGAGAAAATAGTAAAGTTTAAGGTTTTATTTTTTGTTTTTTTGGCATTTGGGGGCCACAAAGGGTTACTCCAACCAAAACCAGTGTTTTATGAAAACATTGGATTTTGGTTGAAGTAAACCGTTATTAAATTTAAAAAAATTAAGTTTATTTCTTATTGAAAATAAAAGTTATCTAAAGATAAACCAAATAAAGTGAAAAGAAAAATATAATGTAAAAAATATCTTACAGATTATAAAAAATGATGTATGACTACCTACCTTGTTGCTGTCAGATACTGTCAGATGAAATTCTCTGATCTGCTGTCTGCAGGATGTAATGCTTCATTCATTGATCTTCAACTAAGTGCACTATAGACTCGGGTGTACTTGGATCAGCGTCTCACCAATTTTTGTTGCAAAATTAAAAAAAAAAAGCCCAAACTGTTGGCTGTGAAGAGGACTACTAATATTTTTAATTTAAATTTATTTATTTATTTTCAATTTCTTTGAGATTTTTTTTTATCAGGTTAGGTTAGTTTGGGCAGAAGGAAAGAAAAAAAAAGTTTTACAGGGGAGTTTGACCATAAACAAGGTTTTTTGAGAAAAGTGTGAGTTAGAAAAAAAAAGCTGTGTTGTATCTCTGGAATGATAACAGTTTTCAGCTTCCCTTCCCCCTGGTTGATGACAGTCCGGACAAGCTGTAGGGAACAACTGGGCACGTCAAAATCTTGTCACAATTGTGAAAAGTGCTCCTACTGATTCTACACCTCAGATGTGCCCTATCTGCTCTCAGAAGGACTCTCTGATGTCACCTGTTCACTTTCCATTGGGACATCTGATCCTGGACACCCCAGAAGAGAGGCATGTATATTGCATTCTCTACTAGAGCTATCATTGAAATCTCAGCACTACAGGAGCATGGTTAAAGTACCTGGGCTTCTCACAAACAAGGAAGAAGTCTTGGAAATAAAGCAAGCGGCATTGTTACTATCAGCAACAACTGCCTGTAAAATTTTTACTTTTTTACTATCCACACAAAACCTATGGTGGAAAGTGTTGGGAGGGAATAGAGGACTCCTTGGTCTACGTTTGAGGACAAGCTGAGTATCTGTGTCAGAGATTTTTTTTTGCTATATTTACTGTTCAATAAATTGATTGAAATACATCAAATTACAGGAGCAACCTAAACACCATAACTAGAGGGTTGGTTAGCCCAGCACTCTGAGCAATTCATTGACATACAGGTTGTCTAGTTACATAGTAGTCTAGGTTGAGAAAAGACTAAAGTCCATCAAGTTCAACCTTGAAACACGTTCTTTAATGGGGAAAACAATATTCTCTACTCAATAATGACAATAGATTTATTTTTTAATCAAAAACCTGTTCACATATATATAGAATGGATATGGATTACTACAAGTGTAAATTCTGCATAATAAAACGTCTGAAGAGACTAGTCTATGGGGCCACGGACAGCTCTAAATTAATTAAATTTCAGTCCCTTCATCACTGATTATCAATGGATTCTTGGATGCAATTTGTGAACCTGGGAGTGATATCCATCATGTCTATCTGGTAGTTATCCAGTAACATGGTAGATCCAAAACCAAACTCAGAATGGACACTTCCGAACACTTACAAACTTGCATACAATGACAACACTGTATGCACGCAAATACACTGATATACGGGTTTATACCTACACAGGCACTTAAAAACACAGATGTGTAGACAATTCTCCATGACTGCTCCTGGACTCCTACCTCTGGGACATCTGTGGCATTGTGCGATTTGTTGGGTAAGGAGGACCTTGGCAGGTGGCCCCCAAGATGCCGGGGACTGTCTGGCTGTCAGCAGGAACTGACTGAAGGTGCACCCCCACTCTGTGAGGATGTTCCTTCGGTCAGCCCCTGCTAATGGCCAGACAATAAATGTCCCGGGCAACTTGGGGGAGGCACTTTCCATGGTCCTCCCTAGCCAACAAATCGCACAATGGCTTCTCGGGTGGGGGGGCATTTGTCCTGGTGCTCCCCCCCTGAATCCACCACTGGTGACAGCTCGCAGGACAGGCTGCAGGTTCGCACGGCACGACAGCTAACTCCACCTGAACCACCCGCACGCTCGCTATCCAGCAGGCAACAGGGAGAGCAAGCAAAAACCCGCTTGAGCTTGGAAGATGCCAGCCGTGAGGCTGTGCTGGAGACTGCTCTATGGTTACATAGATGGTAAGAGGAGGTGGGAATGGCTGCTCATGAAGCTAATAGTAGGACAGAGAAAACTTAAAACGCTAATATTAGTAGAGGAAAAGTGGTAAATCCCAATGGTGGTGAGATTGTTGTGATGCCTAATGGAGAATGGAGATTGGTGATGCCTAATGGTGATTGGAGATAGTAGGGTGATGCCTCAAGGTTGATGAGAGAGGGAGGGGGTGATGATTCATGATGACGTGAAACATCACCATGAAGAGTCACCTTCCTCCCTCTTCCAACACCACTAGGCATCACCCTCTCCCATGACCTCTAGGCATCACCCCACCTCCATCTTAATTTATCACTAAGTATTCCCTCCCACCATCGGTAGAAATCACCCTCTTCCTCTTTAAACCCCCTAGTAAACCCTTTTCCATTCCTACCTATAGAATTCTCCCCGAGCCTTGCTCTCTCCTCAGCTGGCAGATTGGAGATGGAGGAGGGAGATCCCAAATTGCGATGGGAAAGGGAAGGAGTAATGGCTGCCAAATAGTGATGCGAGAGGGAGAGGATGATGCCTAATGTTGATGGGAGAGAGAGGGGTGATGCTTGATGATGATGGAAGTAGGAGGGGGTAACGACTAATGGTGATGGGAGAGTGAGTAGGATGATACCTAAAGAAGGGCCCTGGACCACCATAACTAGGTATCACCCCTCCTTTTTACACCACCATTAGGCGTAACCCGTCTCCCTCTCCTATCACCATTAGGAACAGATCTCTTCTCTCTCTCATCACCATAAGGTAGCAACACCTCCCTCTCCTATGATTATTAGGCATGACATCCTTCTCCCATCACCATAAGGCAACCTCCTTCATCTTCCACTGCCAGAATTTTCTGTAATTTCCTGAGTCTCTCTCTCCCACATATGGTAGATGGGAGATAAAGGGGTTAGTCTAATAGAGATGGGAAAAGAGGGTGTGATGCCTAATGGTGATGGGAGAGGGTGACAACTAATGGGGATGCAAGAGAGATGGGATGACACATAATGGATAAGGGTGAGGAAGGGAGTGGTGCTAAGTGGTGATGGAAAGGAGGGTGGTATCCTCCTTTCTCTCCCATCACCATTAAACAGAGCTCATTTCCTCTCCCATTCATTAATCAGCATCCCATCTCTCTGCCATCACCACTAGGCATTACTCTCTCTCACATCACCATTAGGCATCATTCCTTCCTATTCCATCATGATTAAACAACCCCTTCCTTCTCCCAGCACCATTAAAGGGATCCTATAGTTTTCCTGGCACTATAGGCTCTTGGAGTGCCCTCCTCCCTCGGGGTCCCCCTCCCACTTGTCGCTGAAGGGGTCAGGCTCCGCCCATGCTCCTCTCCCGCCATGAGGACGTCCAGCGTCAGATAAGTGCGATTTACTCCATGTAAATCGCAGAAGCGGCCTCTAGTGGCTGTCAGGTAAACAGCCACTAGGGACTGGATTAACCCTGCAATGTAAACATAGCAGTTTCTCTGAAACTGCTATGTTTTCAGCTGCAGGGTTAAAACTACAGGGACCTGGCACCCAGACCACTTCATTGAGCTGAAGTGGTCTGGGTGCCTATAGTGTTTTTTTAAAGGAAAACTATAGTGCCAGGTAAGCAAACTTGTTTTCCTGGCACTATTGCTTCCCCGACCCTCGCGGCACCCCATCACCCACCACCCGTGGTGTAGAAGAGGTTAAAAATCCTTCTGTCACTTACCTCAGTCCAGCGAAGATGTGCCTTGGTTCTGGCTCGGGTCCCATTTCGCTCCTCTTCCGCCGACGTCAACCACATATGTGGCCTCGTTCGCATTAGGCTTTCCCCATAGGAAAGCAATATACAATGTTTTCCTATGGGGTTTTGGGTGACTATGGATATCCCCATGTATGCGTCTTATGTTATGGCCCGGAAGTCCCTGTACTAGAAGTGGAGTTAAAGGATTACTATAGGGTCAGAAACACAAACGTATTCCTGACACTATAGTGGTTAACCCACCATTAAGGTGGCTTGCCCCCCCTTAGGCTCCCTATAAAAGAATAAAACTCACCTTATTTCCAGCTCCGCGCAGGTCTGCCGATAGGGAAAGCATTGGATTGGCTAAAATCAGTAAGGGCGGGCCCAAATGTAATTTTGGCCAACCAGGACCTCCTCATAGAGATGCATTGAATCAATGCATCGCTATGAGGAAAATTCAGTGCAGTCCTGAGCCAAGCAGCCCCTCTAGATGCCATCTAAGGAGTGGCCACTTAGAGGTGTCCCTAGAGGCAATGTAAATATTGCCTTTTCCCTGAAAAAGGCAGCGTTTAAATGAATATGCCTGAAGGGAGCTATTACACTCACCAGAACAATTACATTAAGCTGTAGTTGTTCTGGAGACTATAGTGTCCCTTTAACTCTGAAAGGTAATTATTGCAGTTTCTTAAAAGCAGAAGTGATCTGGGTGCCTATAGTGTCCCTTAAAGCATCAAGTTCTCCCTGGCCCATAACCATTGGGCATCTTCCACCACTAACATTAGGCTCCCAGAAACTCTCTCACTCTCATTATTAACGTATCAGACAGGAGCCATATAGTGAGTGGAGAAAAAGGGTGATGGCTGCTTAAAGGGATCCAGAGGTGGAAAATATCATTTCTTTTACTGCATTATATAGAAGTGGGATCTCAAAACACTGGCCCACGGACCACTTGTCATAGGAAAACTGCCGGCACCTCAATTTCCAGACTGTCTGGTCGACACTGGACATCTGGCAACTGACAGTCTTTTAATTGAGCGGCTGGCTGCTTAACCACTGACCAGCACTGCATAGTTGTGCCCTGATATATGTGAGTATGTGAGAGTAGGTGAGTGTTTCTTTGTATGTGTGAGTGTCAGGTGTCAGTCATGGGGGAAACTGTGAGTGTGTCCAGGAGTACAGACCTGCGTGTGTGTCTAGAAGTATGTATCTGTGCATATATATATGTATGTTTGTATGTGTGTGTGTCTGGTAGTATGGATCTGTGTGTGTCTGGTAGTATTGATCTGTGAGTAGAGATCAACAGCACCCATATGAGAAGACACCTCTGCCAGGGGCCCTCAGGTAAATTTGAGTTGACACCCCTGATACACACACAATGCAGTAAAAGGAAATAATAT